TTTTCAGCTTGTATTAGCAGTGTCTGTGAGCACACAGATGAGCGTATCTGTCACTCCGTTCATCTGGACCTTAAACAGAACACCGACACCGTGAGCCGGGGATACTGAGTATGACACACATATCAATAGTATTCCATATCATGCCCCACCATTTTTCTTTTCCCTTATTGTTAAATCCACGCATCTAAAGCCACATTAAAACTTCTCTAGCTCAATAACTACTTTCTGCCAGAATATACTACTAGACTGGCAAACGGAGGGATGCAAAGGAGTATTTTGGGAGAACAGTTAAAATTTATATATTAGGAGAGGTTAAGAGAGCAGATTGACTTGAAGAGCGAACCTTTTTTTTTTCTTTTAAATGATTTCACTATGGGAATAAGGGTAAAGAAGAAAAGGGTCAAACGCTTGAAAAGAATTTATCAAATGAAAGTTAGATACCAAAAGTATGCCATGGTGAAAAAAAAAAGAATTGTTGCATAGGAGCGTGCAATGACCTATGGCCCAGTTTCAAGAAAGGCAGCATCTACTGGAGTTGTTTGCTTTCTATTTCCTTCTTCTTCTTCCTTCCTTCCTTCCTTTCTGTCTTTCTGTCTGCCTGTCTGTCTGAAGTGGACATAAGTCGATGCTGCTGTATGTCTCGGGGTGTGGTCTACCTCAGGTTTTACAGATACTCTAAATCCGGCAACTCATGCAGAAGCTGGGACATGTAAGCAGCAATTCTGTTAGTGTAAAAACAGTAGTATTAGTGTAAGATGACGACAGACAGAAACACTGCCAGGCTAAGTGCAGGTCCAAAGACGTAGGCTTTGTTCCCAATTGTGCTCTGTGACCTTTAGCAAACTATTAGCCTCTTCCAAGTCAAGGTCGTCTGATTAAGCTCAGGGTTACCCAAACAATTATCATGTATGCTGACTAACTTTATAAGGAAAACTTGCAAAGTCAAATCCAATAAAAGGAAAAATGGAAAGACAGTGGTTTAAAAAAAAATGAAAAAGCATTATCACAAACAAAGGCAGTTTACAGTATAAGGCCAACATCTCAGTCATTGGTATTATGTTTAAACATGAAAGACAGAATCCAAGTATCATCCTTTTGTGGCTGCTGTTTGTTCATCTGGAACTAAGTGGGGAAAAAAATCATTGTCCTCCAAAGATTGTTAAGTGACCTATCAAATGCCAAGTAGTCCCCTCAACAGAAATTGCTCTGTAAAGGTCTCTGTGATGATCCAGTGATCTGGAACTATATAAGTTCAGTGTCTCAACCTTTCTAGATCCTTTTGCCATCAAGGAAGTAAATATTCTCAACATTTCTGACCTCTGAGAAGTTTTTTTTTTCTTTTTAAACTTGAATGGTAGAGAGAGCAACTTCTAATATAGATCCCTTCTCTTTCAAATCTTACCTAATCGTCAAATGTGGAGAATTTTATCAGTATGAAATAGAAGAACAGAGCACAGAACACATATGCCAGGATCAGAAGGTAAATAAAAAAAACTAATTGGTAATAATTTATAAATAAAAACTAACGCTGATTTCAGTAAGAACACAGTAAGTAAGCACCAATCAATGTTCAACCACTCTCTGTGCTGCTGAGAAATTTTACCCAATTCATGGGACAGCTTAAATTGTATCTTAGGCAACTTTCAGAATGTGAGTATCATGGTGGGTAAGCTCATGGCTGGTCAATCAAGTAGTTACAGTTTTCCCAAGGAAACACTCAGGTTAAGTTTGTACCATCCCTGACTGTGTGCATGCTTCTGTCTTATCATCAAGAGATAAAAAAGGCCTACCTTTTCATCCTCCAGGAGAAATGATCAATAATGTGTATTAGAACTGGCCAAATCATTCCAGAACACCCCAGAATCACTGGTACAGAAGCAGGAAGCAAGGCTGAGGAAGACTTCCTTAAAATTGGGGCCAATTCAGAATAGAAATGACTGAAGATTACAGGCCCAGGACAAAGGAGGCCCATAGTTGAGGTGAGAGTTAATAAACTATCAATTTCAGCCAGGTGGTGGTGGCACATGCCTTTAGTCCCAGCACTAGAGAGGCAGAGCCAGGAGGATCTCTGTGAG